GCATACAAAAAGTTGTTTCAATTGCCTTTCATACTCTGATGTTTCTCTATTACGATTATTAGGATGCTTCTCATTAGTAAGCAGCTTTTAAAGACTAATTCCTTAATAACTTTTCTCTATACTCCCTACCTCTCTACTTATTCTCACCACTCCTCATACAGTGATTAAGGGATCCTCATTATAAATTCCTATTTATTCACTTTTCCACAACAGCATTTTTGAAGGACCAAGGCCAGCAATTTTTGTTCAGGTATAATCAAAAGTAATAAGCTTTGAAAGCCCATCTCTTAAATATTTCTGCCTATCCCATAAAGGTCTTTAGGTGACAGTCAGCGAGATAGTGATCTACCTACACTTGCAGTGATTCGATTGTCGTGCATGCATTGTGTCTGAGGGCAGACCTACAGCATTCAACAAGGGACATGCACAGAGATCTAAGTCCAAAGGGCTTAGCTCCCTGCAAACTTCTTAGTTAAGTTCTGGAAGCAACGTAGCTACAGTACAGCTGCAGACTTCTGCAGCATCCTAGGCTCAGTCTGTCTCCTATACAACTGGAGTATCTCTGGACTGAAGTTACAAACTAGGGTGCCTGCACCAACTTAGACAGACCCCAAGAGATCTGAATTCTTTTTTCACATCCTTTTAGGGGGAATAAGGTAAAATAAAGATCAGGGGCAGAAGGGAAGTTGAGACATATAGAAGACAACCTCCAGAGGCACAGGCAGAAGGTTCAATAATCAGACATTTACCATTGTTTTTCTTAACAGTTCAAATAGTCCTTTCCTGTATTCAGCAACAGGCAAGTCATAGTTAACTCAAAATACTTTTTTTTTCTGCTCCATCTAGAGCTTTCTTCTAACACATGAAAGCCATCCAAGTTATCTTCATTTTACAAGGAAACACCCTGAAAAGACAAGCTGGCTTATGCCACTAGTGAACCTGCCAAGCAGCTGAAAACTGAAACATCTTTACAGGATGTTCCCTTTCTTGCTTACCTTCAGGGCAAAAGTAGTTCAGAACACTAATCAAAAGTGCCTATCCAAAATATGAACTCTTACTAACATAATTAGACAGTAAAGCCTGACTAGCTTATTTCCAGCTCTGCTTCCTTTTCAGCTTACAGGCTAACTCTATCGAGTTGCTGTAGTCATTAGTGGACATTGATAATATGACTTAGTTCCCAGGGGGGTAATTTTTTTTTTTTATACTATAATCACTCACACTCCTAAATTAAACCCTGAAGGAAAAGGAAGAAGAAAGCAGCCTGCCAATAACCTAAGTAACTTCTCACAGTAGCAAGCCACTCTATCTTACATCATTGTACAGGGCTCATTATGAAAGCAGGGCTCATTACAAAAGTTTTTACTCATACACGGTGCACAGGCTACATAGAAACAGAATATGAATATCCTTACCAGGTCCATAGGAATTACTTTGCCAAAACACAGTGATGGTCTTCCTGCCTGCCTCTCCGGATGATAGATAACATCTGATCTTTCTGAGAGGCATAGCCTCATATACACTCTAAGTGTATGTTATTACAAAGGCAAGAAGACTTGTTTTTGACCCCAGCTACAAATAAGCTTATGCTATAACATATAAGAACAAAAAAAAAGTTTTTTAATATGTTAGCAGGTGTAACTACCAATGTTATTTTTCTTTTCAACTGTACGTCCAGCCACTTGAGTCCTGCTGCCTTCTGCTATTTGTTCAAATGGGTACAATACAGCTAAATGTACTTGAAGCACCTGAAGTGTCATTGTCTTTTAGCATATTCTAGATTTCACTTCTCTCTAACTCTGAAAATTCAAAAGTATTGAGATAGAGTACACAATCTTGCCATTTTCTTATTCTGGTATTCACCATTGTGCCAAATCGTAGATCACATAAGGCATTAAATAATGAACTTGCTTCACTGCAACAAATGTCTTCAGAAGCAGAAATGGGCTTTAAATATTTACAGTTAAGAACTTCCACTTCAGGTGACTTTGGACAATATAGACTGCACTGTGAAATACCTGCTATTGTTAAGAAATAATTATCTGTCATTGTGTTAGTATTAGACAGACCTGAACCAAAACCCAAGAGATAAATACAAATTTAACATACTTTGAATCTTCCTAGGGATTTGCACTGTTTTCATCACTATATTACTTCTGAAGTCTATGAATGAACTTCACAGTCTGGACTCAGCAATTCACATTTGTGCTACCAGTGCTAATATTTGCAATGAGTTATTAGAGATGAAGTTGGAAAGGATGTCTCATCCACACTAAATTTTAACAGCTTCTTCATGCAGTGCCATACATATTCCTTACAGTTTTTCCAAAGGAAGAGCCTTTGAAAGATTAAAATTTAGGCAAAGGGATAAATTTTTCCATCATTAGCCTTATAAAGACCATGACACTCCTTTCCTCTTCTCCTTAAAGGATTGTTCCAGAGCCACCCCCACAGTAAAAGGATACAAGCCAGTTCTAAGGTCTCTCTTTTTGTATTTTTTCCATATTCTCCAAAGCACAGAGGTGAATCAACACAGTCATTCTGGAGAGTATGATCTGTAGTCATCTAAAGGTTTTCAGGTAGTCAACTAACATTAATTATAAATAGCTCCCTTAGCGGTAGCCAGGTGCTGACTGCACACAGCACAGCAGCCAGGACCCATGGAGGCTGCCACATCAGTCTGAAATCACAGTTGTAAAGGCAGATGCAGCATTTGGTGCAATGCAGAAATGCATTGTGCCAGCCAGGGAGATGTCACTTTTGAGATCATCGACATGAAGGCATGAAAGCACAATGTTAACCCCCTGACATTATCTTCAAGCAGTAGTTCACTGTTCTTCTATGCAAGTCAGTAACAATCAGAGTTTTCTGTACCAGCGTACCCAACTACATCCCTGGAGCCAGTTTCACCCCGACATACAGAAGAATCCAAAGGAACTTGTTCTTTATTGACAAATCTGTTTCAATATTTCACATCACTTGGCCTTAAGACATTCACATGCTAAGCTGCTAAACCCATTTAATTTACCTTTGCAAAATGATTTCCAGTTACCCAGTGTAATGCCCAAGGACATACTGAAATCTCAGGAGATAAGATTTGTTCAGAATATCTGCCTTCTAATGACACAGTATGCTTGTTTTTTATTTTAGTGTCACCACTTTTGAGGTGAAAGAAGGAAAAATATTGTGTAAAATAAAGAATTAAAACTGGTACATAGCTTAGGCTAGAGAAGAGAGGCTATGTAGAAATCTTTGTACTGCAGTCGGTATGCAGAAGTCTACCATCCTGTTGAGGTGCTTTGCTTGTTGCACCTATGTCCTGCTTTCTGCTAGAAAAGAAAGCATTTTGCATATCTTTTAATAGTGGCATCAAGGGAATACAAACTTCTTGCTTTTAGTATTTTTTAGAAATCCTTTAATCAGCCAGTACACATTATACCTATGGAGTTGAGGGAAATACAGATCTCTGCAACACTGCCATGAGAAAGACATCTGAACCAATATCCCTGAACAGAATTCACCCTGCCAGCCAAACATGTTCACCTGTCTTTTACAGACAGATGAAGGATGTGATCCAAGCCAGCCCTGATCCAAAAGCTGTATAGTCACATCAGCACAATACCGCTTCCTGCTGAAGCAGGTTTGGCTTCTTAGCTACAGTACCAGGCTGCCCAAAGGTACAGGTACACAGCTTCTGACTCAGAACTGACCTGTCTTCTGTGAACACAGAGCACAAGCAGGGACAGCCCACATCTATCTGCAAAGAAACAGAAAGAATTTGTTTTGCTTAAGAGAGACAGAAGAGCATTGCTGTCTACACATATAGGCAAGGGAGAGGAATCAATTAAGCAATGGGATGTTGTCTGTGGTAGACCAACTACAAGGAAACTGAACAAGTTTAGGCTGAAAAATAGGAGAATGCTTTTTCCATCACAGCAAGGAGATACTGGAACAGCTTCTTAAAAGAAATGCTAATCTTATAAATTTGATTCACTTATAGAAAGGGTTTTATAACACAGTTGGGTGGACAGACACAAGAATCCAGGGGATAGCTCTTTGTTCTTTCAAACCACCTGAAATCACAACAGAGCTCTGGTGTGACACCCCAGAGGGAAACACATTGTGCTCTTGGAAGGCTAAGACACAAATTCAGGTCTGAAATATGAGGCTGAAGTTCAACTTTGGAATATATTCCTTAGGTATCTCACATTTCTTACCTAATCTCTATTTTCTCCAGGCTGACGGGTTTCTACATGGGATCCTAGAAGATACTCTACTGAAGTCTTGTAAGATCCATAATACTTTCCTTGTCTAGAGTTTTAACCAATGAAAGATAACTCTATCCTTGATAGACCTTTCTTGCATGTTATTCCATTTTCTGCTTTTCCCTACCTACTTGATATTTATTTCCTTCAAAATTGATTCTACAGCTTTGCATACTAGACCAGACTAAAAATTCTGTAGTTCTTAAATGCCAATTATTTTCTATTTTTAATTGTATACTTCATCATCATTCATTTACCTAAAATTTGCAATAGTAAACCTGTAAATTAATACATCAGTAAGTTTAGAATTCTTGGCTGAATATTTATTTCAAAATTCCCACTTATCATTTTCTGTTTACTCTCCTAGTTGCTGTGTTTAATTTTGGAGGAAGAATTAAGAACTTAATATCATTTGAAAATTTACAGAGTTGATGGGCAAATGTCTTGCAAATCTGTCACCTCTCACAAAAATTTCTTCCAGATATTAAGTTCTGATTTTCTTTGCACACATTTTTCATCATTCTAGTCAATACATTTAACCTCTGTTTACAATGTTTTGGAGACATAGTTTCTGTTTCCCGGACTTTAAAATGACTGGGAAAGAGCCTGCTTTTCACACTGCCTATTGCAAGGGCTTTGTGAACAATTTCGTTCCCCACCGACTCAGCTGATCAACGGGCCATCAAGCTGTTTACCCTAACTTCCAAGAAGTACTGTCTTCTTCACATGGCCTACCTGAATCAGCGTCTCCAGCTCTAGCTGGGTTACACAAACATGCTCCCGAAGAAAGTCAGCCTTCTCTAGCGCAATTGTGTTCTTCTGCCTGCTTTCGAAGGGCTGCTCCAGGGCACGGAAGACAAGTCCTCCTGTCACCAGGTAAACTACCACCACGACAAAGATGGCCACCACTGTTTTCCACTTCATGACTGTCTGCAGGCCTTGAGAAGGGGTTTCCATGGTAGCAACGACAGTGGCTCGGGAGGAAATGGAGAGCCGTGGAGCTGGGTAATGCCCGTTAGTTTTGGGCTCTGGTTCACAAGCTGGCACTGGTGAGGGTACAGCCACTGAAACACAAAGTAAAAAAATCTTATTCAAAATCAAATCCCTAAGGGTATGACCTTGATCTTCATATACTACTTTCCTAAATACCATTTTCAAGACTCTCGCATAAACCATGTTATTCACATAGATGCGATTCTTCTCACCTGGAAGGCTCCATGTGTGTTTGTCCATCCATACACAAGCCACCTCAAGGGTTTGCTTCACCCATTACTTCTAGAACTGGACAGGCCAGCTGCATATGCAAAAACTTCAGAAGGATGCAGAAAACCATTTATCCAAAAAGAACATGAAAATTTTGACTAGTTAAGGTATAAATTACACAAAGTGGTGTTTGGTGAGGGACTCTGGCAGTGATTTATGTCCTTAAATCATAATACTAATAGTATTAATAGTGCTAGGAAATTGAACTGTTAATGATCAGTGATCGCTACCTGGCCTGGTATTGACAGAAACAGAAAATGCTTTGCAAACCACTATGCTGTTTGGCTCACCAACATAAGCAGGTCCATATTGTTTACACGGATTCACAAAATCATTAACTCTGAAAATGTTCTTAAAGCCTGAAAGCTTCCCAAATTTTAGCATAAATTGTTCTTCAGCCAAAGCATACTAGATATCTGAGGTCAAAGTCACTCACACGCCAAGCACAACGATGGACCTCCCAGCTTGGGACTGAGACGCTGTACAGCCCATGTGACCTTAGCAGTACATCAGAGCTAATAAGCCCTGACTTTCAGCCAGACCACTTCCCCACTCTCTGTTGCCAGTGTTAGCAATGGCAGGATGAGGCCGGGTTCCTCAGCATCCACCGGTATAATGGTACCACATGCAGGCTTTAAAGATGCTGGATTCATTTTAAACCAAATCCCTGCTGTAATCTTACCACGGTGCAGCTGTCACTGGCCTGTAATTTCTTTGAAACCGGATTGATTTATTTCATATCAGACCTAAATCAGATCACAGTTAAAATACAGTCACTTTAGCTGCATTCTCTGAACTTATTCCCAAAGTGTCTTTGCTGTTTTGCTCAAAAATTAAAGCAGAAGGATTTACAACATCTGATCAGAGTGGCACCGTAAACTGATTCTATACAATTTAAAGATACAACGTGATTACACCTTGAGTTTGAAGTGGGCTACAACTCCTTCCCAATAGAAACCATTTTATGACATTGAATAATTTAAGAACTCAGCTGTTTACTACAGTCACGTTTTCCTAGAAGTGATACGTCTCTGAAGCATTGCCTTGAGGATAGAGTTTCCAGCTTACTTGCTAATCAATAAACTACAGAAATCTGTAGTTGCTTTACACTTACAGTTAATATTTCTTTTCATATGTGACTTGGAGGCTCCAGATACTAAATAGATTAGAAAGGATCCAGGATCAGAGGAAAAGCCTCTGTGGTTGATCCCCTTTATGCGTATCTCAGTTTTGCAACACCCTGCGGCACACCTGCTCAGTTTGACCATCAAATGTTCATTGTGGTTCCCAACACTTACCAGCCAGGATGGAGTGACATCAAACTTAAAAGGATACTTTCTCTTACCTCCACATATATTTCACGTAAGTTCTAAGAACTTGAAGTGACAATAGGGAGAAGAGTGACAGTATTAGAAAGAAGTCACATTTTTTGTAAAAGAGATCAATTATTTCATTCTCTAAATCTCCTGAAAGGAAAGGATTATTGTAATAGATACAGTCAGTTTCAGCAGGAAATATCAGAAAAGTATTCAGAAGAAACGTAAAATAGAGAGGTTGTGTGAAGCCGTTAGAACCTCCCTTCCTCTATAAACAAATATCTTAAATCTGAGTCACAACATCTCCTTACTGAACTAAATAAATTTGAGTATTCCCAGAAGTGGCTCAGCTGATGTAAATCAGTGTAACATAACTTCCATGGATTCCATGGAATTCAATCAATTTACATTAGTTAGAGCCCCTAACTACTGTGTATATTCTGAATCAACACAAAATCTGCAAGCCTGAGGGCTGATTTTGCACACTTGAGATTACTCAGCAAAATAGTCTCAGGATCTGAGGCTCAAATGGTAAGAAGAGAGCAGAATTCAAATGACAGAAACAGCATGCTACAATTTTTTGAAACAGCTCTTCACCTTACCATGGCTGGCATAGTCCAGTGTAGGCTGGGTGAGCCTTTCAGTGGAGCGAGATGCCTGACTTTGATATCTCACAAATGATAAGTCAAGAGGAAGGAAGTCAAGAGCTGGTAGAGTTAAAACAGCTTCTGTTAGTTTTCTTTTCCTGTCTGCTAGTACAAATGTTGTTTCTTATTCAAATCCTATTTCTGGCAGAGTGTTAATAACAGCTTTACAGTAAAAGCATGGCCTGTTCGATTCTGTCTTCAAAGGAAAATGTGTTGTACTGATTTAAGAACAAGATGGGAAGTTCATGGTAGGGAACGTAAAATGTTCTTATAAATATTGTGTCACTTAAAGACCTCAATGGATTACTATGCTCGGCTTGCTTATCTCTAAAATAAAAGATAACTCTTTTCCTAAGAAGAACTGTGTTTCATTTTCTGCTATTAAAAATAGCTACAGTAAGTGTATGTAGAAATGTTGATCCTAAAGTATTTTATATTATATAAATTAATACACGGGAAGACTCTACTGAAGCAGCTAGTTGAGCAACTGATGTGTAAAAGAGACTGTTTTCTTACAAAGCTGATGCAGAAGGCACAACTGCAGTCAAGACCCCAGAGATGTTTCAGGGTAGATTTTAAGCAGCAGTTAGATATTGGAAAACTAGTGTAGATACTCCGTCTAGCAGCTATCTCACTCTTTACGACAAGAGAGTGGGATTAGTGACTTGACCACATGGTAAGAAGTCAGAAGTCCTGGTTTCTAATTGGAACCCTGCCTCCACGAACCTGTGCTTTCAGAAAAGTGCTACCATTTGCCTTTAAACCATGGTTTCACCAACTAGAAAAAGATGAAATAGTGCTTACTTTTCTAACATGAGTGTCCTGCAAGAATCCACGCCTGTACAATTTTTGAACAAACATATGAACGTAAAAGTGATATAAACTTCCAGAAGTTTAACAAGTAGTTTTACTAAAATCAAAGGATGGACTATAGTAGCAATTCAACAATGTGCAGAGGTATACAAACAGTTTAAGAAAATTAAGGACTACATAAATTCTTGAATTTGTAGAGATAGTTTAGACTATAGTTTAGGACAAATGTAGAGCAAAAGAGAAGAGGATATGTTTACAATAAATGCAGAACAATCCCTGCGTTATTTATCCATGTTTTTTTCAAAACAAGCTGCTGTCAGAACAGGCTTTTCCCAAAACAGAGTCTCATCCATGTGTGTTTGTTAAATCATATCGAAGAAGACTTAATCTGCCTCACTGAAAGCAATGGTGAATCTCCATTCACATGCATGCACTAAATTAATAGACAGGTAACCTCAAAGGAACAGCTACCCTCAAAGGAACACACCAGTGTTTCGACACAGGCCTTACCCCAGTAAGAGGATGCCAGTGGGGAAAGAAAGGTGGGTTCCTGTTTGTTTGGATAAGCTTCAAAATAAAGCAACTGAAGATATTGATGTTACAAGTCAAACTAAAATGTTAGGATCTGTACAGTTGTTCACCTCCAACAGTACTGCACTACCTGCACTTGACGTACTGACAAACAGTACAGCCAGGCCTCCCATTGATATGTGAGGAGCTTAAATACCTGAGATTTCTGCTATATTGATGAGAATTAAGGATCAAAACTCTCACTCATTGACCATCAAGAAGACTGTGGCAAAGCTTAACCCAAGGTAAGCAGTTGGCAGTTGGACTGGATGACCGTTGTAGGTTCCTTCCAACTGAAATATTCTATTCTAAAGCAAAATGCTGTAATGTAAAACATTGGAGCTATTGAAACGATGCACCATAAGACATTGCTTCAGGTTAAAAATTGTCCTTTATTACTGCAGGTATGCTTTGCTTTAGGAGACTGATGTTTCTAAGAACAAGTTAGACTAATTTCTGCCAGAAATATTTAGGTATAGTTGGCCCTACTTTACAGCAGCAGGGTGAGCTAGATAACCTGTTATGACTCTGTGAAAATAGTTCTAATTTAAAGGGAAAATCTCCAGACAGAAAGGTTCAAAGTACAGCCACCTCAGAAGGACAGCTTCAAATAAGAGCCAAAATGCTGAGAGGATGTTCGACTAGCTTTTGACTATAAAAATGTTAAGCTTGGCTTTGCCACACTGACCCATATCCTGGCAACTATCTTACCCAGTATGCCAAGAACAAAGGACATAGCAAAGAAACCTGGTTTTAAAGGAGAGTTTCTCAACTGGTTTAAACCAAATATATTTTTTTTTAAATCAACATACCTTCCTCTGTGGTATTGCTGTCACAATTTTTATCTGTGAAAAAATGTAAGTCAGGTTTAATGGAGTGTCTTATTTAGTACTTGATTTTCTTCCATGTTCATGTGTTACATGAGCACACAGGAATGTACGTACATTTTAATGAGAGTACAATAGAGTATTCTTGACACATCTGATGCAAGTGTTGGTTTCACAGGATTCAGCACAGAATTAGACTGAGGCCATATATACTTATGCATTCATAAATCCAGCAGCTGGCTTTAAGTTTAATACATGAGTTGATCAAAAGTGAAACTGGACATTTCATCTTCCATTTTAGTGGGTCCATCCAAGGAAGACAACAAAGTACTTTCAGCTCAGGTAAAAAGGTTCTTTGATGTGCATCTGAAGGTAAGTACCAGTATGTTTCCCCAAAATCCTCATAATATGATGGGAGGTTTTTTTAAAGAAAGGAAATTATGCTTTCTTCAAAAATTTACATAGTCGAGCACTCAAAATTTCCTGTAGAGTCTTCCTTATCTTTGTCTTAAAACTAGAAGTTTAGCTTGAATTATAAAGTAATCTTATCATGCAATCCAGTTTCACTGAGAAAATTCATGAGTAAATCATCGTCCCTACAGCTTTCACAAGATCCTACATTGGGTTA